GATTTAGAAAAATGATTCTATACAAGTTAAATAAAGGCCAGCCCACTTGCTACTCAATTAATTATTATATGGAAAATTAAAGTTGTACCATGACTGAATCCATACTCTGAATTCTTATCTGAATTTGCAGAGTTTTTGTCAACTTTAGTCCTTAAAACGGACAAAGTAATTATTGTAGGGGACTTTAATATCCATGTGGATGTTGAGAATGACAGCCTCAGTACTGCATTTATCTCTCTGTTAGATTCCATTGGCTTCTCTCAGAGTGTTCATGAACCGACTCACTGTTTCAACCACACCCTTGATCTTGTTCTGGTGTATGGTATTGAAATTGAACATTTAATAGTGTTCCCACATAATCCGTCTTTATCTGACCACTGTTTGCTAACTTTTGAGCTTTTACTGCTGAATTACCCTCCACTGGGTAAAAATGTCTACTCAAGATGCCTGTCTGATAGTGCTATAGCTAAATTTAAGGATGTGATTCCATCAGCTCTACATCCATTATCAAGTCGTACAGAAACAGAGGACTCTTATGTTAATTTCAGTCCTTCCCAAGTTGATCATCTTGTTGATAGTGTTGAAGGCTCGCTGCGAACAGCTCTTAACGCTGTAGCCCCCCTAAAGAAGAAAATTCTTAAACAAAGACGGTTAGCTCCATGGTATACTAGTGAAACCCGCAAATTAAAGCAGATATCTCGGAAACTTGAGAAGAACTGGCGTTCAACCAAGCTGGAAAAGTCTCGTTTATCTTGGCAAGATAGTCTTAAAGCTTATAGGAAGGCCCTCCGTGATGCCAAAGCAGCATATTACTCGTCTTTAATTGAGGAAAATAGGAACAATCCCAGGTTTCTTTTCAGCACTGTTGCCAGGCTGACTGAGAGCCACAGCTCTATTGAATCAAGTATTCCAATAGCTCTCACTAGCCATGACTTCATGAGCTTCTTTAACGATAAAATTCTAGCTATCAGGAACAAAATCCACCAAGACTTGCCCTCAACTAGCATCGACTTATCTTTAAACTCAGTAACTGTAGGACCAGAACCAGTTATATGTTTTGACTGTTTTGCTTCCCTCAATCTTTGTCAACTAACTTCAATCATTTCTTCATCCAAACCTTCAACTTGCCTCTTGGATCCCATCCCGACTAGGTTGCTTAAAGAAGTCCTACCCTTAGTCGGTACTTCTCTGCTAGACGTGATCAATCTGTCCTTATTAACAGGCTATGTGCCAAAGTACTTTAAAGTTGCTGTAATTAAGCCTCTTTTGAAAAAGCCTAACCTGGACCCAGATGTTTTAGCCAACTATAGACCTATATCCAACCTTCCATTCATCTCCAAGGTCCTGGAGAAAGCAGTAGCCAAACAGCTGTGTGACTATCTACATAGCAATAGCTTGTTTGAGGATTTTCAGTCAGGATTTAGAGCTCACCATAGCACAGAGACCGCACTGGTGAAAATCACTAATGACCTCCTAATGGCATCAGACAAAGGACTCGTCTCTGTCTTGGTTTTATTAGATCTTAGTGCTGCTTTTGACACCATTGACCATCAGATCCTACTACAGAGACTGGAACATTTCATCGGAATTAAAGGAGCCGTTCTAAGTTGGTTTAGGTCCTATTTATCAGATCGGTTTCAGTTTGTGCATGTTAACGATGAGTCCTCCATGCATGCCAGAGTTAGCCACGGAGTTCCGCAAGGATCCGTTCTCGGACCAATCCTCTTTACTTTATATATGCTTCCTTTAGGTAATATTATCAGGAAACACTCTATCAACTTTCATTGCTATGCAGATGATACTCAGTTATACCTATCGATCAAGCCAGATGAAACTCATCAGCTAGCTAAGCTTCAAATGTGCCTTCAGGATGTTAAAACCTGGATGACCTGCAATTTTCTAATGTTAAACTCAGCTAAAACTGAAGTTATTGTTCTAGGGCCTAAACACCTTCGTGACGCATTATCTAGAGATATAGTTTCCCTGGATGGCATCGCCCTGGCCTCCAGCACCACTGTGAGAAATCTTGGAGTTATCTTCGATCAGGACATGTCGTTTAACTCTCACGTTAAGCAAATTTCAAGAACCGCCTTCTTTCACCTTCGTAATATTGCAAAAATTAGGAGCATCCTGTGTAAAAATGATGCAGAAAAACTAGTCCATGCATTTGTTACTTCTAGGCTGGATTACTGCAATTCCTTGTTATCAGGGTCTTCAAAAAAGTCCATTAGGACTCTTCAGCTGATCCAGAATGCTGCAGCACGTGTTCTTACAGGAACCAGAAAAAGAGATCATATTTCTCCTGTCTTGGCTTCTTTGCACTGGCTTCCTGTTAAATCCAGAATAGAATTTAAAATCCTTCTCCTTACGTATAAAGCTCTTCATGGTCAGGCCCCATCTTATCTTAAAGAGCTTTTAGTACCTTACTGCCCTACCAGAGAACTGCGCTCCCAGAATGAAGGGTTACTGGCAGTTCCTAGAGTCTTGAAAACTAGAATGGGCGCTAGAGCGTTCGGCTATCAGAGTCCTCTTTTGTGGAACCAGGTTCCAGTTTGGGTCCGGGAAGCAGACACCGTCTCTATATTTAAGAGTAGGCTTAAGACTTTCCTTTATGATAGAGCTTATAGTTAGAGTAAGTCCACCCCTGGTTGTGCTGCTATAGGCCTAGACTGCCGGGGGATGCATCATGATGCACCGAGCTCCCCTTTCCTTTCTCTCTCTCTCCCTCCCGGTGCAACCTCATTCCATTAACAATGTTACTAACTGGACTCTCTCCCTTCCCCGTAGTCGTGTGCTTTCTCGTCCCCCTTCTCTCTTCTCTCTCTTCCTAACACTTTCTGCAGATATTCCTGGCTCTGGAGCTGTGGGGTCTGGATCTGTGGTTGGGAGTCTCCTCCTATCACTTCCTGCAGGTGTTCCTAGAGCTGTGGAGTCTGGATCTGTGGTTGGGAGTTTCCTGCTGCCCCCATGTTCCTGCTCATCATTAGCATTAATATCATTGCCATTTTTAATCTATTCTACGTGTTGCTGTGTTGGCTGCCCCTCTCTGCTCCTTCTGTCCTTCTCTCGCCCTCTCTCTCTCTCTTGCTCTCTCTTTCCCCTCACCCCCAACCGGCCGAGGCAGATGGCCGCCCACCCTGAGCCATGGTTCTGCTCAAGGTTTCTGCCTGTTAAAAGGAAGTTTTTCCTTGCCTGTGTCGCCTAGTGCTTGCTCATGGTGGGAATTGTTGGGTTTCTGTAGTTAACTTCAGAGTAGGGTCTGACCTGCTCTGTTTGGAAAGCGCTGTGAGACAACTGTTGTTGTGATGTGGCGCTATATAAATAAAATTGAATTGAATTGAATTGAATAGATTCCACAAGAACAGAACAGTAGCATATGATTAATCCCATATAGGACAAAAATGTGCAGATGACCTTTAAGTAAATACGATAGAAATGAGAAGTAGGCCATAGTTGTTATTTTGGTCAGGACATTAAACAGTAAAACAGCTTCAACCTTGTAGCCACTTGTTTTTCTGCAAGTGAATCTGGATATTGTTACCTAAAGGACAACTGTATGGCACGGGAGGAGTTATGAAGTCCGAAAGCAGAGAACTGCCGTGATGTAATGTGGGAAAGTCATGCAGCTCGACCATGGAAAGACACTTCCATGACTCGTGGGAGTCTCTTTTTAAAGTCCTGCTTACTCATACATGTCGGTCAGGGCAGTTAGTTACGGTTAGCTCTAACACAGATAAGGGCTTCACCGCATACTCTGATGTCCGGATTGTGTTCGGTTTCAGCTGTTGCGCGCTCACATGCTGGAGTTTTTCCTGCTGGCAAAGGATTCCTGTCTGTTTCTCAGGCATGTCCTTATATGGTCAGAGTGATCAATACTAGACACATGCTTTATGCAAGCCCTCTTTGAAACATTTCCAGCCTCTCTGCTCCTACTGGAGACATAAAGCAGGGGGCCGGGACCTCCTACATGTCTGCTTCGGCTAGATTTTTCTTCTTATTGCAGTATCAAGCGCTCAACCCTCTTGCTAAGGATATTGTCCCTGGAAGGCTTTTGAACCCCAACCTAAGCCAGTATTCATGGTCGAATTTCCCTCTCAGTCAAGCGAACAACAAGCCATGCGTTAATGCTTCTTCACAAGGAGGAAAGTTCTGTGGAGGTGTCACATTCATCCCAAAAGCTGCCCTGAAGGGGTGGACTGTTTGGGCTCAGCTTGGCTGCTTGAGCTAATGTGGCTCTGCTGTCTAAAATCCCGCTTCAGTGGTTTGTGTCCGGCCACCTGCTGATGCCGCTGGTGTGGATGGACTGCCCGGAGCCCACATCTAACCTATATAGGCAACACATCTCCTCTGAAATTACACATTTATACACTAGAGCACAATACCATTTACCACCGAACCAGAACAAACGAGTTAACACAATCCTGAAAACTGCACCTCAGACAGAAGAAGGCTCACTAAGAGGATTTATTTCTTCTAAAAGAGATGGGCTATTACAGAAATATGTGTTTATGTGTGTGTATTAAGTGATAGAAAATTCTCTATTTGGATTGTCTGTGGCTTTCTCAGTTCTGCTTGATGGTATTTTTTAAATACTGATATCCTCTTTCCAGCCTGTTTGATCTTCTAATTCCCTAAAAAGCCACAACTTGACAGCAACCTTGGCATGGCACTGAGCTTATTTTACAGTGTGTATTTGGGCTGCAAGAGGCAACAGAGCAAATTACAGCGGTATTGATTGCCTGAGCTCAGAGAGAAACATTCATTTTAATTAACATGATTATTGTGTCGCCCTCCTCCACATCTGCTTTGCTCTTACAGTTTCCACCAAGTTTAGAGCCAAAAACGAGGGTGGTTTTTCAGATACTGAAATGATTCCGGTATTCAAGTAGCAGCTTTGATAATGAACTCACGGTTCATGTCTTTTTCTCCATCTGTACTTTCTGCAGAGTCTGTGAGCAGGTGAGAGAGGGACACTGTCTGCCCCACTGTCCAGCGACACAATGAGCTGGAGCTTCCTCACGCGGCTGCTGGAGGAGATCCACAACCACTCCACCTTCGTGGGGAAGCTGTGGCTCACCGTGCTCATCGTCTTCCGCATTGTTCTCACCGCCGTCGGGGGGGAGTCCATCTACTACGACGAACAAAGCAAGTTTGTCTGCAACTCGGGCCAGCCGGGCTGTGAGAATGTCTGCTACGACGCTTTTGCCCCTTTGTCTCACGTCCGTTTTTGGGTCTTTCAAATCATCCTAGTGGCAATGCCCTCTCTCATGTACATGGGCTACGCCGTCAACAAGATTGCGCGATTAGATGAAGCGAAAGGGGGGGCTGGAGCCGCTGCGGTCAGAACTGCAGGAGGTGGCTACACACACAGGAAACCCAGGAAAATCTGCTTTGGGGCGCGACAGCACCGAGGGATCGAGGAGACGGAGGAGGACCAGGAGGACGACCCCATGATCTACGAGGTGCCAGAGATCGAGCCCCCCAAAAGGCCGCGAGATCCCCTGCAGCCCACCCCGAGGCCCAAGATCCGGCACGACGGGCGCACGCGGATCCGGGACGAGGGGCTGATGCGGGTCTACGTTTTGCAGCTGATAACTCGCACGCTGCTGGAGGCGGGCTTCCTCGCGGGGCAGTATTTGCTGTACGGCTTCCGCGTCACTCCGGTGTTCGTGTGCTCCGGGAAGCCGTGTCCCCACAGCGTGGACTGCTTCGTGTCCCGCCCCACCGAGAAAACCATCTTCCTGCGCATCATGTACGGCGTCACGGTCCTCTGCCTCACCCTCAACGTGTGGGAGATGCTCCATTTAGGCATCGGCTCCATTTACGACATTCTCCGCCGTCGCCGGTGCCCACCCCAAGAGGACGAGTACCAGCTGGGCCTACTGGGCGCCAGTGGCGGTGCGGAGGCACCCGCGGGGGTAACGGGGCCCGAGGCAGGTTCGGAAGGAGGGGTGGGTGGAGATGGTGCTGCAGATTACGTTGGGTACCCGTTCTCGTGGAACACCCCCTCAGCTCCACCGGGGTACAACATTGTGGTGAAGCCGGAGCAGATGCCCTACACGGACCTTAGCAATGCTAAGATGGCGTGCAAGCAGAACAGGGCGAACATAGCTCAGGAGGAGCAGCAGCAGTTCGGCAGCAACGAGGACAATTTCCCCACTGGAGGTGAAGCCCGCGTGGCCCTCAACAAAGACATGATCCAGCAGGCCCACGAGCAGCTAGAAGCGGCCATCCAGGCCTACAGTCAGCAGCACCGCGCAGAGGAGCAGCTCGGAGACAACCAAGACGACAAACCCCAGAGCAACATTATCCAGGCTCAGCCTCCGCCTCAGAAAGAGCGCAAGCATAGAGTCAGGCACGGGAAAGGAGGCAGCAGCGGAGGGTGCAGCAGCAGCAACAGCAGCAGCAGCAAATCAGGAGAGGGCAAGCCCTCTGTATGGATTTAAACCCAGGAACAGAGACTGTAGGCGTCTGTACAGTTCAGATTGATGAGGGGCTGTTGCAATCTTTCTTGGCTATTCATGCACCACTGTGCCTTTTAACAATCCTGAAAGCTGGAGAAAATGTATGTTTGTGTAGAGATGTGTGTAAAACATGAAAATGTGATGTTGCAGCTGACAGCTTGTGTAGTCTGGGCCATCACTGTCTAACTTGAAACATCACACCCACGCAAACTATGTTTGACGGCAGTTTATCGTTTACAGGTCTTGCTCTCCTCAATTCCTACGGTTGTTTATTAACCCCTGTTGTCTTCCTGTTGATGTTTTTGTAAAGACTTCAGCTTTGAAAGAGATACTGAGTCATGGCAGGCAGTCTTGAAACTAATTTGATCTCACAGATTAAGCTGAGCTCATGTTCTGTCTGCTCCTCTGCAATTAATGCATCAGGACCCTAACTTCGGGGAGGGAAAAAAAACACAGTGACAGCTAAACGAAGTGTCATTGCAGTATAGGAGGCTAGGTCATCAATCTGCCCCAGTGAGCAAAAGCAATGACATTGCACAGTTATGACAAATAAAGGAACATCAGTACATGCAATAACACGAATCCCCATACAATGTCAGCACCTGAAGCGGTGACTTAACACCACAGCGAAAACATCACCTTCCTGAAGGCCGTCTGTCTGTCACGTCTGCTTTCTCCACCACGTCATTCTGCAGGGTCAAGCGCTCTTACGTTGCATTCGACTGTGCGTTTGTTTCCTGTGAGTTTTTGTAAGACAAAGCCACACCAGCTGCTACTCAGGAACCGCTGAGTACGGCGGGTGGGTCTTAAATTTCCTGAGAGGCAATTGTTTTTAAAAAAAGGTGCACACGCAATCCAGTTTTTATACCTTATTCCTCCACTTTTGGGCTCCTCTTCTCACGCTTTGTGGCTCTTGGACGAATCGACTTAGTGCTTCTCTCTTGCTTCATCTGCCTTGTAGTTGACTGCCCCCTGGTGGTACCTTTAAGGGGCATCATGGTAGTAGATGCCAGTGCTACCTGCATCCAGCAACACCTTAACCAGCTGTGTTGTTGCTTCTCTATTGACAAAAAATGTATCACTTATGTCTTCCCAACTCTAAAGTTAGATGCACAAGGCTGTAATATCACCGAGTTGTAATGGAAAAAGTTCAAAGCCATTACGATTATATAGTGAGACCAAACACTGTTTGTGTGATGCAAGTGTCGTTGCCAAGATTTAACACAAGGCTGCTACGAGGCCTGGTCGTTTGTAGCTTTGGAATACTTTCGCCATGCTACTCCTGCCATGAAACTATGCCTACGTGGAGTCAACCCCTTTTGTAAAATCCCGTTTTTGTATCACAGTTGATGCAAAGCTATTTTGGAATGGGATTCAAAATAAGAAACTCCAGAATGGAGTCGGTTTTATGTTTAAGCCAGTGTTTTTATACAGAAATCGTTTTTTTCCCTGCTCAATGATGTTCCTTTTTGTAAAATAAAGTTAAAGAAAATAAGATGTTGAACTAGGTGTGTGAATATTTATGGTTGTTGTGATTGAAATTGCCTTCCAGTTGTAAAAATGTGAAATATGACATAGTATATTTTTATAATGTGTCAGCGACAGTGACTAAAGAACAAAGTCTTTTACTTGTGTGTTGCCGTATCTGTATTTAACATATGTAGTGACCCTCTGGGCTGGATTTTAATGAAAATGTTGTTCCTTATCCAATATTGTTCTGAAATATGCTGAACAGCTGTGATTGTGGAGACAGACTGGCTGTTTAGGGGTCATAAAGTGCCAAATTACTCAAAGCATTCCTAGCTTTACCCTAAAAAAGCTTTTCAAAGGGGCTCCCAATGCAAAGCCATGTCATAGAATGGAACAGAAAGCCTATATGGTAAATGTACAAGAATTCACCCGATTTGGAGTGTGACACCTGAAACAAGTGCTTAATTAAAAAACAGAAGCCTTTATAACAGACAGGGGAACTGAGAGTTATGTGACATCATGATGATAACTTCAATTAATCTTGAAAAAAAAATTTATTCATCTTTAGATTAATCTTTAAATGAAAAAAAATTCAATGAAAAATAAAAAGCCACCTTCTGGTACTCTTGGACTGACTAAATTTGTCCTCTGAAGCTCCAGAAACAGAAATCGATACTGACTCCACACACGCCACAGGTGGTTTACTGAGTTTCTCACTCACTGTCAGTCAGTTCCCCCAAATGCCAATCCAACCTCATTAAATTCTTCCCTGGCAAGCAGAGTTTCTTGAATATTTACTGCTGTCAGAAGGGAAGGAAATAGACTACATGCATTACGGGCAGCTAGTGACGTTCAGAAGTTAGATCCAGATGGGGCCACAAGAGGATGACTTTTCATCAAAGGAGGGGGTTCTTCAGATAGAAAGAGAACTGTGATGCGGGGAGATGCCACTGGGGTGCTCTTAGACCCCATGTGCTCAATTCTGCCTGACTGACAGCATGGCCTCACAAAACTAGGCTAGGTTGTAAAGCTTACCTTTTTTTGATTTTCTTTTTTGGGGGGAGGATTGAGCTGTTATCCAGAAAAATACCCTGTGGCCCTGCTATGCACTTGTTTTGCCCTGCTCTCCTTTCCCTGAGCTGAGGGATGGAGAATGAAAGGGGAAGAATGTGTAAGATGGAAAATGTGCTCACTGTTCAGAGAGAGCTTTTATAGCTATTTTATCTTTTCAGAGATTCATTCTCCTCTGTATTGTGTCCCTGTTATATGAAACCGTAAGTATTTTCAAAATGCAAAAGGGGCTTTTAAGGGAAAGACAAAAAGAAACACACCAAAATCTGCAATATCAGTGTCTGTTTTGCGCTTTGCCACAATGTGTTTTACTGATATTAGATGAAAACTCTCAATATAATTGCTCTGATGGGTTTATTTGAATTTATTGTCAGGTGAAAAAAATGACCATTCAATCACAGTGTATTGGGTATCAGAACATAATAAAAAGTTCTTGGTCTTTATTAGATCTTTGAGTTATATATTGAAAAAAATGCCAAAATGTACTCACTACCAACAGAAGACATCTGCAACGATCTTAGAGAAACAGTTGTAGCTGCTCATCAATCTGAGAGGGGTTATTTCTAAACTGTTGCGAGTACATTATTCCACAGTAATTATACACAATATTTAATGACGTCCTCGCATGTTTACCCTGAGGCGTTATTAAAAAAAAAATCCAAGAGCTGAGTGTCAGACTCTACAAAGTCCACAGTTAGCATGGTAAATGTGACAATGCATTGCGGTGTGTTGAGCAAAAGGTTGTTAGGCAGAGTTCAAGGTGCTGCAATAGTCAAGTCAACCCGACTAAAATACTGTGACAGGACCTTAGGAGAGCTTTGCATAACAGTTCTCTGCAGATTTACCCCTTTAAAGCCCCATCAAAGAAATATTTGCAAGAAAATTGTAATTTTTTTTAGTCGGACTTGTTTATTTGGCCCTTTAACAAGATATGGAAATGAACAAAAATAACTTTGTATATTTACTATTTGTTACCGTGCAATAAGTAAAAATTGTTGTCGTGTATTCTTCTGCCCACTTGTATCAGGTTTATCAGATTGTATAAAACAGGGTTTTAATCAAAGATTTTACCTTAAAGGAATGCAAACGATGTCAGAAACTGTACATAATAAGTATGATACATATAGCACTATATGGTTATACATCTAAGCATCTTTCTACAGATATGAGAAAGTGGACGAAAAATAATTCATCTAAATTGTTAGCATTTAAAAAAAATGGCTGAAGCATTCTGATTTAGTTTTTAAATCAAATGATTCATTAAAGTGCAATGTGTTGAGGTTGAAGACCAGGTTGTTTGATGGTATACTCTCTGGTATACTCTCTTTTTCTTATGATTGATTCACCTGATTTCTGAGGTCAATGTAATCATTATGAGTGGTATTCTTATTATTACATATATTTCTTTGGGGATACTAAATCCAGTGTCCCTTGCTGATTCAGAATTCAGAGTTGGTGAGAAATGCATCCAGTATATCATATAAAGTGGTCTCGGCTTGAATGTTTGAACAAATTGAATTTGCGGGCCCCTCCTTCTGGGCTGTTTGGCCCTTTCTCCAGCGCCCTTCCGTGTAGAATGAGCTGGCATGCATGTGAATCAAACTAACCCCGGCAACTGCAGACAGGTTTTTGGCTGACACCAGTTTAAGGCACCCTTTGGCTCTTACTGGCCGTTTCCGCCCAGGCCCAAAGATTTTTTGAAAACTAAATCAATTCAACCCATTAACCTGTTGTGCTTTTTTGCAGACTGTCTGTTTTCAGCTAATCGAATCATAGATGACAGGTGCTCTTGTAATTTATCTCTGTACTGGATCCTAAAACAGTGAGATAATTGAGTCTGTTGCTGATCGATGCATCGGGGATATCAAAAAGTCCATTTTCAGTGTCCATGTTGAGAAGAAAGACCGTAAGCCCATGTTGTTCCCCTACATGTTTAAGTTATGTTGGATGTGACAATGAAACCAGTCGTATTTCCAGTACAAACTCTGATTCATACATGTATCTGTGTAACTGTGTGCTTTTCTATGCATTTTGTAAAATGAACATTTCTTTGAGTGCCATTCATGTAACCCGCGGACCAGATTCTTTTCATATTCTGTTTTTAAAAAGTTGATTTGCATGTGAAAAGGGGCCTATTTTCCTATGAAAAAAGAAATGAATAAAGAAAACATGTGTACCAAATAAAGTTTTTTCATCTTTTGTTTTAGTGTTCAGAGAAAGATTTGAAAAAAAATGACTGGAAATAAAAGTCTTTCCGCTCTCCAAGCCATCTTTGTTGACTGTGCTTATATCACTTGTGAGCAGAACCTCTGTACAGTCCCATTTGGAGAATAACAGTAACACACGATGATGTTGTGTGACTAGCAGAGGCATAGCCAGAGTTAGAGAAGATGCCAGTTCAGTTTCTGTCAGCCATTTGTCTCCTTTGTCACTTTGGTGGCAGCTGAGCTTCAGTCTATAGATACTGAACAATGTGTGAGTCTGCAGGCTTTGAACTGCAGGAACGCATTATGGTATCAGTGTCGTGACTGATTTTAGATGAGCTGCTCTACATAATACAATTACTATATAAAAATCACGGCATTGTTCTTACAGCAATCGGAATAAAATAAATATGTGTCCCTTTTTTTGTGTATAATTATCAGTTAGTTCAAAGTCAAGCTGTCTGGAGAGTCAGAATGGAAAGTATGTCTGTGAGTTTCCCTGAAATCAGAAGAAACGCTCCATGGAGAAATTTGCTAGTGGGAACAAGTTGCAGCTGTGTGCACAAAGAGGTCGCAGGCGCTGTGAAAGGAATCCCTGGAGCAACGTCTACGATGGCAACTTATGGCAGCGGGCTATAAGGCTCTGAAAAGAAACAAACATGGATCCTATGAATAAATCTATTTGTGTGGAAACATCGATCCAATGCAGATGGCATTTTAGAGAACACAAAGAACACAGGCCGGAATTCTCTGGCGGAGTAAGAAAAAGCTGACCTTGTGCACTGATTTCCTTTTACAGACTGTGTGAATGCATCCTCCAGATGTTTGGCAGGCCCAAAAAATGGGAGCAGTGAGACCAGCGACTGAGAATGCACGTGCACTAAGACACTTACACTGCGTCAGGTCTAGTAGTGTCATTCTAAGGAATAAGAACAAACACAAGATCATGTAGTGAAAAACAATTTCATTATCAGATGCTGGTGGAAATGTCAAACAACAGCAAACCGTGTTAACCAGTTTATATGAGGTGTAGAAAGATCTGATGATCAGTTGAAAATCAGATCCCATTCTAAAACAATTCTGGTAAATAAGAACATTGTGGGGGTTTTCCAGTTGTGTAACAAAGCTTGAAAACAAGCCAGTCTGCAGGCAGGTTTTTAAAGCTTTAGAGAAACAGTAAAAATCTTTTTCTGTATGGTCCCCTATGCTCACAGAAAAGATGGATTACAAATATTCACTTGATCTTATTACAAATATAAGTATTTGTCATGTTTGGACTACAACATTTTATATGATGGGTAATTCTCCATTTAAAACAATCTCATACGAACAGTAAGTGCCATACATTTATAAAAAATGTATGTATTTTTTCAGAATAGTTTAATATGTTTCCGTGTGGGTGGCAGAGAATGACAGCTCTTGACAGTTTTATGATTGATCGCAGGATTGCACTCACTTACATCCCTCGCTGACTTACTGGAACGTCCATGAGGTTTGACGTCTGTCTGTTCTACAGTTTTTCTCCTCTGTCAAGAATAAATCAATAGTTGACTCAAATGAATGGTTAATCCTGATACATTTGTGCAACGTTTCATCATAATAATCCCCTTTTTTTCATCTGGATATCGCAGCAGTGATACAAAATGTGACTGACCTGTATGCTTTGATTAAAAGTTTGCCACGTTAACAGGTTGCAACAGTTTATTTGATTCGAAAGAGGGCTGCCAAATCACCATCTGACATCTGAAAGGAGCTCTCATCAACAGGAGACATTACCACACTGGTTCTGATGCTGCGCTTTGCCTCTGGTGTAATGGAAAACAATCATGAGCTGCAGTACCTCGGTGGGATTTGCTCTCATCAAGGATTCTCATTCAGTTTAATACCTCAGTCTTTATTGGACTGTTTTCTCGCTCAAAGTGTGTCCATACGGGCAGCCAGCTGCAACCAGTATTTACCATTTCAGCAGGACACTTCTAGATCTGCTGATCTGAGCCCCCAGATCTGGGATAAACTGTTTATCTAACGTGGAATCCAAACCGGTTATTGCCTCCTGACGTGCACTCCTTCAGAGAAAACACAATCCCTGTAAAACTGCCATGGCAATGTATTGAGTTAGTGTTGTTTCACACAGAGGAGATATCATGTAATTAATTTCATTCTAATAAACTGATAAATTCTTTGCCGAAGGAAAAATGATAAACAAATAATTTATTCTGCGTTAGTGATAAAACAAAAGACAAAAAGGCATTGTGTTGGAGTGGGTAGGAATCAACTCCTGGAAGCGGAAGGTGCCTCTGACCGAGCACGCCGTTTTCTAAAGATCATGATCAGCTCCAGAGGCTCACTTTGTTTTGTCCATGGTTCTCATGCTGCTGCACCACCAGATGGCACCAAAGCAGATCAAGGTCTCCATCACGGACTGATGGAGTACATGCAACATTTCAGTCATTCAGAAGCCCTGGTAAGGTTACAGGAACCCCCACAGACACAGGGAGAACATACAAACTCTACACAGAAAGGGCACGAGTCCCCCAGGGACCCACCGGCTGCAATACTGCATTTGTATATGTATTGTAGTGAGTAGTAACATTTTGGAAAATAGCAATTTATTTCAGCGGTGAATGCAGATCTTTGGCAGAAAGCTTCCAGCAGTCGAGACCAAAATGTTGGCTTTTTTTTTTGCTGAAAATCTCTGGTGTTAAGATAGCTATAGTCAGTCATGTCGAATGTACAACAAAACTAGTCAGATAACAATTTCTGCATCCCACTGCGCGCGGGTTTGTGTTTTTACATGCGTTTATCAAAGTCTGCATTCTGGAGGTGATCCTGACTCATTGATATTTTCTGTTCACAGTCTTGGGTGAAAACTGCAGCTTGTGTGTGAAAGGGGGATTTCTTTTTTTAAAGAGAAAACATATTAATAATGCCTGCTGAAGGAAGTCTGTTTCTTTTGTGTGGTGTCAGTAAAACAAAAAATAATAAGATTTAGCATTTAAAATACTACAAATGGAAATTATATTCTGAATGTCCTGTAGAATTAAGTCTTTTTTTAAAACATTAAAAGAGCTTAAGGTACAAAGTAGCTGCTGGTGCTATGAGTGTATTCTCCAAGTTTGAATTAAGAAGCGGCAACTCGTGGCAGTACAATGTATTCTCTAAAAACTAACAAGCATTCATCCAGTTAAAGGATTAATTGTAAGAATGCATGCATTCTCTGCAGATGGCCTTTTAAAGGTAGGATACAGAAACCACTACTATGAGAGAAAAAAACTGCCCTCATACATTCCACACCCTCTGTTAACATATCCTCTAGATGTTTTGATGTTTTGAATAAATAAGAATTGGGGGGGTGTTTAAACAGGAGTGATATTTAAATGGCAGAAGTTTAGGAACAGAACCAAATAAAAAGTCTAATAGACAGATTGGCAACACTTGTTAAAACAAGGCTATACAGCATAAATTATGAAAAAAAGTGCATAATCTTAAAGAACACAAATAAATGAGCGATTTCCAGTCACAACCAATACTATATCACACATGGAGGTGAGCACCCCCCTACAGTTTATTGTCAAATAAACTTTTATTCACTCATCCTTAATTTTCCTCAGTGAGTCATTAGAAAAGGTCACACGTGTTCACTGGATTGTACAGTTAACACACAGAGGGTTGTCAAGTTTGGTCATGTTCAGTTTTATGCTGTTTGCCACAAAAACTAAGACAGTATTTAGACTTCTTGTGTGTCAGTTTAAAGACAAACGTCCCAGGCATAAGTCACTTCAAGGTTTGATTGTTGCAACAGAAAGCAACACTTTACAGCCAAAGAGCCAAAGTGCACTTTACAATAATATCAACATTAATCAAAATCGTACCAACACATGTGCCAACACTCAGTGGTAGTAAAGAGATGGAAACACAAGCCCACTGCAAGAATTTTTGTAGGCAGTGACCCAAGCTCTTTTGTAAGAGTCCTATTTCTGTTTGTGGAGTGCTGTTCTTGGCTTCATGCCTATCTCAGGTCGGAGGACTAAACATGACCGTTTGTATTTAAGGCGGCAATGGCATCAGCAGTTCAACCACAGTACCGAGTTCATCCCCAGCAACCAGCAGGCTCAGGAAAATAGAAATGTGTTCAAGTACCTTAAACATGTTATGTGTTTAGTCAGAAAAGTGTAAAATGGTGTCTTCATATAAACGAGTTTTAGCCAGGCAATCTTCATGTCAAAAGAGTTGTCTGATTTTCATCATAACGCATTCAAACGGATCAAAGCACTTTTGTCCATAAGTGGTTAACCTAAGGCAATGCAGGGCCTCACAAAATGCTATCTAAATAAATTCATCCAGACTCATTCTAATAAAATAGACTAGCACAGTGTTTTAGACAGTATAAAGTCTTACAGTCCTCTGATTGTCAGTGCACGTTTTGTGGATAGTGGTGGAGAGACTGAGAGACTGAGCAAGGTGGATACTAGGACCAGCTTCATCCTGAGGCCACAGAGAAGGCACTTTCCTACTAGTTCACCGGGACTACTTTTGTTCCTATTTGCAGTCCCCCAGATGAAGTCTGAGCACCCCCTGACTGTGCAGCTTCAGCAAGAGGTCAAACTCAGCCGGCATGGCATGGAACTTTGTTTTAGTCTGTCTGTTGTCATAATAGTGGTTAGTCAGGGCATGAAAGCCATGTGGGTGGACACTGAAGGGCCAAAATCCATACAGATCCACGTTGGAACAGAGTTCCAGGGCTAAACTAGCCATGATGATGCCAGTGCTTAGCCGCACTGCCCTCAGGCCCTGAGAGCGCCAGAACAGGGCCAGACTTTGGAGGTACTCTGGGTTGAAGAAGATGGTTCGGGTGGAGATTCCAAAGTCCTCAATTGTGTAGTAAGTCCGCAAAGATACAGGAGTATTGTGACCGTAGGAAAAAGCAGGAAGGAGCAGCAGGGTGTTAGCTCCGTAGGTGTGCAGACTCTCCACAAATGGGCGCCGACGTCCCATCAGAGCACCATACCTGCGATTAAAAAGCGTATTTCAAGCATCGATAACGTCAGCCGGGGCAAAGGTTTATTCTCTTGCTTACTTTTCGAAGAGGATGCTTGGATTTGCTGTCACAAGCTCTGTTTTGATTCCAACGTGTTTCTGATATGCGTTTGACAAAGGAGGCAGGTTGCACCTGAAAGAGAAGTAACAAGGCAGCTGTTTTCCTACAGAACTGAGTCCATTTTGTCATCTAACACTGTCAACACTCCACACTTTTCTTACCTGATGATGAACTGATTTGAATCGATTGTTTCCCCACAGCTGCTGTTGACCAGGATTCCACCATTTCCAACGACAGCACAAGTGTTCAGTGTTTTATTTGAGAAAGGAAGCTCCTGGAATAAGCGCAGAAAAACATTTAATCACAAAACAGGAAAACGAACTGCGTTTGTGTAGCGCTACTTCAACCCAAAGGTATTGTGGCTAAAGTAAGGGATTTAGGTTAGTTCTCTTTTTACATGTTTTTTCCCAGACATTCCTCTCATACTATAAATGTGCTTTTATTCAACACTGAGCCTGAAAACACCACCACGGAGGGTGATATGTATTAAACCTCATGGTTTGTACGAATGATCGACCGTGCAAAAAGCAAAAAGAGTCTCAGTTTTATGGCTACATTTGGTTAAGCTTTTGATAAAAAGCAGGCATGAAAAGCCAGTTACAAATGCAGTCCTCAGAACCTGTCAGCCTGAGTAAAGACATGCCTAAAATGGCTTCCTGAAATGAGATTTAACATCTTTACCTCATATGTCAGACCATTTAAGACTGGTCTGACTCGACCTTTGCTGGTACTTCTTATATCAGATAATCAAAGCACTAAAGAGTTCTTATCAAGTGTTTATGACCATTTTCATATTTCCTAACAGACAAGCAGACAATCTGTCTGTGCTTGCTGTTGAGCTTCATAAATGCTTGTTTGGACGTCATAATCCACAGCTTTCTGCCAAACCCACAATCAGACATATTAGAACCCACTCCAAGTTGCAATTTAAGATCTTCACTGTCAGCAGGGATTCAGCTGCACCACTCCCTCAAATGCTATGTTGACTTTGGGGCATGAACATTTTTGTTGATGACATCATGCTGCGTTAGTCCTTTTTTGATATACAGTGTACAGTCTGGGCTGAAAGAGCAAGCTTTGCGGTGGACTGGTGATCCATACAGAGGCTCTCGCCCTGCTGAGAACAGCTCGTTGGAAACAAGCTGGTCTTTTCTGCCAGAACTAGGCCATGAAACACCAGTTTAATACATGATACACCGGAGAAGCTAATGGCACTGAGAAGCTCAGTGGTAGAGCATTTGACTGCAGATCAAGAGGTCTCAAGTTGAAATCTGGGTGCCCCCTACTTTGACCACAAGTTACAGGTTGAGCATGTGATATAGAGCAATGCATCGGCATGAGCTGAAGGTGTTACATTCCAGGAATTGTTGGCTGTTTTTCTCACATGCATGCATAGGAACTCTTCCATTCCTTCTCTAACAAAAGGAAAAATCCATTTAGTCTGGGACAGCTTAAAATGTCGTGACCCTTTCCTTTACATTAGTCATTTCATCTCAATTCTACAACGTGTTCTGGCAAATGGACCCCACCTGGATGCAGTGCAGAGGCGTGCAATACACACCTTCCTGCTGTAGGACACAGGAGGAAACCCATTCTGTGCTGGTAGGCACTAGAAAACTTTTGGCATTGGAAGACATTTCACAATCCCTCCTCCTTCTAAATGAAGAGCTTATCAACAAATCGTTGATTAACTCAATCATTCCATGAAGGACACAGTCTTTCAAAAACACAGAGAGCCAATTCCCCTTCTACCAGAAGACGGCAGTAAGATGTGTGATTCATAGAAACTGATCACAGAAAATAAGGATTTCACAGTGAGTGATGATTAATCAAACACGGGGGGTATAGCTCAGTGGTAGAGCATTTGACTGCAGATCAAGAGGTCCCCAGTTCAACTCTGGGTGCCCCCTCATTTTCAAGGTTTTGATGTTGACATGTTCCCGTAAAAATCTGTGAGATTTCCAGGATATCCCGGACATAGCAATTTCGAAGGTGCCGCTGTGGTAATAACAGGCGATAAGAAGCTGAACTGCTGGTTCTTAACTGTCCTAAAACTTTATTGCTCATCCTTAAATTGGACAAGTTACAGAAATCTTTAAGAATCTCTTTATGAAGGAAATTACAGGCAATGCTCCTCCTTCTGAATGCTGTAAAACCAAAAACAGAAATCATTGATTGCAGACTAGAGAATGATGGGTCAATTTAAGGTGTGTGAGGGGGGTATAGCTCAGTGGTAGAGCATTTGACTGCAGGTCCCCAGTTCAACTCTGGGTGCCCCCTCTTTTTCAAGGTCTTGTTGACATGTACCAATAAAATTCTGTAAGATTTCCAGGAGATCCCGGAGATCTCCTGGAAATTATTTTACAACCTGCCTTGTTATGTTGTCATTACTCCATGTGCTTTTGGAGTTCGTACTCAAGCACTGAAATGCAACCATATACAAGAGGATTATATTATCTAAGTCCCACACATCCATTTGCTGATTTCTGGTAGTGAGGGAGTTACAAGTTGGAGAGTTGGCCACATTTGTCATAGCCTAGTGACACATAATCTATATCTTTATCAGCTCAGGGTATTCTAGCAGAATATGGACTCTAATAAGGAAAAACTGCTTTTGTCTCACAAAGCGCACATACTTTTGGAAAGGTGCTGAAAATCTCCGGCGTAATCTTGATGCTCCTCTTCTTTTCTCCATCGTAAACCAGCTTCGATCCCACTTGGGTGTTGGCCTGGGTGAGAATGGCCTTCTCAAAGCCACGGCACCGGGTTCTCAGCTGAGACCTGAGGAGCCACAGGGACCTTGTTTGTGAGCAGTTACCAACAGAATCATTTACAATGCCAAATTTGCCTTCTGGACCGGTACTGATCCATGTCGGATAAAAAGTAGGTGTACTTGTTAATTTAAGCTGGATGAGCATTCATTTAAAACAATGAAACACCCCATGAAAAGGTTCCGTTTAGATCTCCTTTGCAAGTTCCTTAAGGCAAGTTTCTATTCCAACTTCTGCTTTCATGTCTATAGTTGTTTCTTCTCCTATTTATAAAAATATAAATGAATCATCACAATGTAGTTGGTTTCAGACATTTGGAGCAATTAGGATGATATTCATTGCCTTCAAGTAAAACTGTTTGAAAAGTGATGCTTCAGTCATTCAATTTTATTACTGGAATCACCTCAGATATCACACGGGAGACATGAGCCTTTAGAGGCATTGTGTTAAACCTTTAATGGATTTCTGGTGCATTCTCAATCACCTCATGGTTAAAACCTTGTTTAGAGGAAAAAAACATTTTTTGACACAATAAACTAATTCTGCATATTATTTCTTTTTATCCAGTTTCTAAAATATTTTGTAAAGTATGTTCAGACTTCTCTTAATTTTCGGTGCATCACTACCTGAAATTTTGATAATTGTCCTCCTGCTTCTTCCAGTCGTGAGAGTAAATCTCAATTGCTTTGTTGATGATCTCACTGAAACAAAAAAACACATAGAGAACCCATAAGACAGCAAAGTTTAAGTCCCCAAAGTGCTGATGCAGCCTGGTTTGATGATGCCAAGATAAAGAGATGACAAAGGAAGAAAACTCAGTTCTCACCCGCAGTCTTTACAGGGGTTGGACGGCTCAGGGGGACCTTTCTTTTGAGGGATTTTTATTTTATGTTCTTTGCTTCTGTGGCACCAATGAAAAAGAATCAGGTTAATTAAAAAACAAAAATAACAGATTAAACATGGATTGACAATTTGGCTTTCAATTTTTCCTGTCACGTCGACCAAGAAGGAAACCACAGATTTACTGTGGTGTGTTGCTGGTCAAAGTGTGTGTACTCATAACTTCACACAGCTTATTCAAGGTAACAGGTTTCTGAATAAACAGAAGTCAACATAAAGAAGTGAAATTCGGCAATACGTGATCATCCCATCGTCTCATAGACATCAAATGAGCAACCATTTGCATGCAGACGTTTTTGCAGGGACTGCACCTCAGTGTGAGACGTCTTCCTGTCTGCGGTGCGGACTTATGTTGCCCTTTTATCTGCCTCTTCCCTTTTTAAACATTTAAGTTGCCACCATAGAGTACAGCCCATTTTGCAGCATCTGTCCATGTCCAGCTAGATGCATATGACTTTCTTTCTGTTGTTAGATTTTGTGGATTTCAATTCAGGTAAAACTTTTAAGGGCAAAATGCCCACAAAAAGGCTTCTGAGGTTGACTTAAATGTAACAGTACACATGAAGGCATCCCACACAGTGGCAGATAGATGGAAGAAAAAAAGCTTAGTTTCTGCCCTTATTCATATCAGCATCTTCCACCCCCAAAATCACCTCCCCAAAATCATGTATGCTTGCATTCCAGTTGGTGGAGAGAGAACTTACGTGTTGTCCAGCATGTACCAGAAGAGAGTAGTCAACAGGCTCCCCAAAAACAGGAGAGTGATCATCAAAGAGAGGAATTGCTTCAATAACTGTCCCCTCATACCGCACTCCTCCGCTAACCTCACCCGTTAGCCTCCTCACCCCCTGTCTCCTTTTCTGCGTCTTTCACAACTTCCTGCCTTGTCGGCTGTCTGTGACTTTGGCTATGATTTCAGATATCCTCGCCCCTCCCCTGCCTGCTCTATCCGATCAGACGCGCTCATTTAAGAGTATCAGCCTTCTGCTCGTCTCCTTTCGTCAGTTGTACCTTCACCATCTTCCTGTCTGACTGGTTTACTCAGAGATCCCTTTAGGGAAAGACTGTCTGAGTCATTTTGTTTTTTGCCTCTCTTTCAGGCAAGTCCTCAGCCTATTTGAACCTAAATTTTCCCCTTTCCTCTCTTCCTGTACCAGTCCAGAGCAACTGAGCTGAAATCGCCGCTTTCGTTGTCTCACATGCAGTTCCTCTGTTTCATTTTCTCATGTCCCCACTCAGAAAAACTCACAGACCTACTTTCCACTGTCGGCCAACAGCCTGAGCACTTTCTGTACTCCGCCCCCGTCCCACAGCCCCAGCCTTCTCTCTCTGCTTTCCTCTCCCTCCCCCAGCTGTCCTCCGCCCACATCCCCTAAGCCCCTTTCCCCCTCTGCACAAAAAGCAGGCGGTAACATGAGTGCCCAGTACTGAATTAGCCCACACTCTTGACCAGTGTGTGTATGGGAAAACAGGCTCAAACCAATGGGAGGCTGTTGGTTTCCACCCAATCAGAGGAATTCTTAGTTTCCCCCAAACAGACCTCTTTCATTCCAGAGTCTAACTTTGCCAGCAGGACTGGCTTTTGTGATAAACATTTCTTAATTCCAAGGTGGGAGCAGGGGAAGGAAGCCGTAAAGCTTCCTAATGGCACCACAGGCTTTCCAAACCTGATAGTTACCTCGCAAAAAACAGCCCGCGGCAATGAGAGAAGTTTGAAGGCACGACTCTTCTCTCAGAGGTGTCACTAGCACCAGCACTCTGCTGGCAGGGGAAGAAAAGTCTCGGAGGTCAAGTTGAAGGAGAATTCTGAGAAATCTCAGCACACGAACTGCTTCCATAACAAACTCCCATGGGCAGATAGACCCTCCCAGTTTTAATCCAGTGACCTGAGCTTTGGGTGGAAAACTCTTTGCCGTGGGATGTGTAATTAAGCAATGGTGTCAATCAATTATGCTGAGTAAGCTGAGCGCCCCCCCCCCCAGCAGCCTCACCACCCCATGCACAAAAATCTGAAGCAAACTTTTTAAGAGAATGCTTGGTATGTGACTAAAGAGGGGAACGATCAGTAAAGAGTAAAGAGCAACTATTAAAATCAAATGTAATAATCTGACATTGGAGTTACAAAAGTTAAAGTCACAAAAAGTAATTTGTTTTTAACATCAAGCAAGCATTCCCTGTGGAGTTTCGTCCATTTGCATTGCGTCTCTGCTTACAGGAGCATGCAGACGAATGTAAGCTCTTTGCAGCATGGATAATCCATGATAACAACCGAGTCGTGGACAAAAGGAGCCACTGTTACAAAAGAACTGCGCCGTAATGAAGCAACGAACACTTTTGTTCTCTGAAAGTTCCTCAAGCCAAATATCCAGACCTGGCATCTGTCTTCCCCTCATTACAAGCTGCCCTGCTGCCTCCCACACACACACACAAGTCATTAGCTCAGGACGGACAGCGCCATTTCCACCCCAACAATCCATTAGAGTTTTAACCATGTTAAAGCCATGGATGCAATTTCTCAAAACGACATTCATGACCTCGTAACACTGGAAACTTTCCGGGACTCTCTGTCTCTCAGCTCGGAGGAGTCCGGGCCAATCTGTCGTGAATGTTGCACGACTGTGTGGTTTGGATGTCTGTGATTTATCTGTTATTGCAGAAAGGAGTAAGCGGGTGACAGGATTTCCTTGTGCCAAATAACTTATCAGCTGAGAATATGTTCAGTATAATTACCTCTACAGTTTCGGGTGTGTGTTGGAGTTCAGGTAAAGTCGGAGTGTGCTTACGGTTATGTAATGGGATTCTTGGATCTGGATGGTGTGTGCCATCATATCTAATTCATTTATAATCTACAAGGAGAGCGTGTTCAACGCATAATGAAGATCTTTTCAAAGCTCAGTGATCCCCAGGATGCTGCTGAGATTACAAACACAGTCATTGTGGGGACCTCTTAAGGGAGACTAACTGTTTTGTTTGCGAGCTGTTCCTGCCCCGTTGCACAGGAAGTCTGGAAGCAGCGTGCTTCGGGGCGGCTGACAATAACCGAGAAATATTGGGTAAGATATCGGCGGGGGGAGGGAAACCAGAAGGGAGTCATGCCATTTGACATTGGAGGAACAAAGGATTCTTTATGACCCAAACTTCCTCGCCCTGTCCACTAGGACATCGACCATGATGCAACAAGTGTGAGATACAGGATGTCAAAGCCACAGGTGGACTTCAGTGCTCTGGGCCTTGAAAAAAAAAAAAATCTCCTTTGATAGCACGCGATCTTTGTGATGACTGCTTGGCACAAATAGCATTACCAAACATACAAAACGCTTCCTGTCTCTCTCTTTATGTGGTTTTTCTTTAGTCTCTATTTTAGCACCTTATGTAAATTCGTTTTGCAAAGCTTATATATTTGTTTCCGTTGTGCCGTCTGCCTCACGCACCTTGTGTCTCCGTTGCTGACCACACCGAACAAGAGTGAGATTGTTTGTCCATCATGCCGTGCCACTGTCAGGCTGCGTGAATCATCTCCTGCACATCCGTCCACATGTTGCTTTGAGAAATATTGGTCTATCCCTTTGAACTTTCTCTTGAACAAGTGCGTCCTTGTCTGTGGATAAGTTCTTTAAAACCAGTAGAGATAAAAATGTATAGTTGCTGAAATTTTATTGAAAACCAAATTAGGCTAATTTGAATTTAAAAGGATTGAAGGCATTAAAATAAACAAGGTCATAGTCGTTTCAATGAAATAAGGGCACACATCTGAATAGTGAGCTGAGCTCAATATTATCAAATATCACACATTAAACTCTACAAGTAGTTTGAGTGTGATAACAAAAGTAGAAGTAAGTGACTTACAGCAGGTTAAACAATCACTGATCTTTGCACAAGCTACCTGTTAAATAGCTGCATCATTCTGAAAATCACCCTCAGTGTTGGGTCGCATTTTTCACATTAAATTAAAAAGGTGAGCGAGCTGAGCACTCAGCTACTTGGCTGGACTCTGAACCACAATATAACTTTGAAGGTTTGATTTCCGTCAATAAATCTAGTGCTGACACAACCAAGTCAAAGATTGTATTCATTATTATTACAAGCAAACATTAAGGTCCATCTACTAAAACCCGTTCTGATCTCTATCCAAAATGGTGGGATGCGAGACAGCTGCTTACTCTTTGTTTGAGCGGACACTATAAATGTGTTACAGGGTGGTGCAATTCAGAGCAGAGGCCTGGACCTTTCACAGCGAGTCAAGGAACTGAAACATCTACGGAGGAAAATAACTGGTAGTGGTTTAGACTTTAGTCAGACTGTCAGACTAAGTGTAAACAGTGAACGATAAGGTGTGAAAACCTCTTTAAAAAATGCAGAACCACGTCTTCATGTTTTCTTTGTTTTTTTGTTACAGTAGCATAACTATAGGTTTTTACCTAGAACCCCTTCAGGCATCCAATATTAATAGCTAATCCAGAGTGGGATGTCTGAATGAGACAGCATATTATGGAAACACTCAGCTAAAAAGTTAAATGAAAAAACCTAATTGAGTCATCTGTTTTAACTTCTCCGATGTGACTGTTATTATTTGGCTTTATTCAGACCTCTTGGGGCTTCTGGTAGTTGTGCTGATTGGGATTCTGAGAATTTTTAATCAACTAACATGGAAAATGTTGACACAGTGAAGGCAAACGGGATTGCTTCAGTGGAGTAAAGAAGGGCTGACACAGAGCGCTTTCTCTATAAAGCTTAGAACAATAGCATTTGTGATTGATGTGACTTTCATGTAAATCAGTAGTTGTTAATGATAGTTTTCGCTCATTAGCCCACCTAATGAGACATCCAGTAGTTCTAATCATGAGATCTGGGGACCCCTGGCTCAGTTTATAGAACAATACAGTGTTTCTTCCAGCTGTGCAGCCTTGCGAGGGCTGACCGTGAACGGCTCCACAGGGAGGTGTGATGGACGACAGACCTATGGGCTTCGGTAATGGGTCATGTGGCCGAGGACCAGCTGATGTCAGAGCATTCCACAGCTGCTTACCACAAGGCCCCGCACCCTGCCCGAGTAAGCTGCTGGCACCTTGCATGTCTCAGAAGCATTCACAACCAAAACATTACCGGATAAAAAGGGGCACTTTGCACAACGGTGTGAGCCCACCGTATGACAAAAACCTATTTAACGCTACAAATGTAAAACAAATGCAGTACGACAGTTTCCCCAACATCAACTTGTCACATTTGATTCTCCTTTAAGACTATTTGCCCTCACATGACCAGCTAAGTTTTCAGAGCTTTGTGCACAGACAGGCCACAGACTGAAACAGGACAGTCTCGGTGCCTCAGCACAGCAGGATGAGATCGCTTCAGCATCAAGTAAACACGGGACGCCGTCAGGGTTTTTATGTACACTTTTATTGTCGGCACTTGACAGGCGCTGCAGTCAGCCCGGACACAAAGAGCCGTATTACTTCTTGGTCTCCTCCTCTTTGGACAAGTTCTTGATGATCTCCTCCTTCTTGGCCAGGAGACGCTCCTCTCTGCGCTTGCGGGCCTCCTTTGTCTTTGTGCGACGAGCCTCAGCCTGATCCCTGCGGGGCAGGAGGGGAGCGGGATGTGTGGTTAAAACAACGAAGCACGCCGCTAAACATCACCAACAAACACCAAACGTGAGGAGGGGCAAAGAAAAGTCTAATGATCGACACTTACATCAGGAGCTTCTTGCGGGCCTTGTCTGCCTTCAGCTTGTGGATGTGCTCCATCAGGATGCGCTTATTCTTGAACACGTTACCCTTGGCCCTCAGGTAGAGGCTGTGGTACCTGAACGGGTGCAGAGAGCAGACGTTATACCAGAGAATATCCGCACAACTGAAGTTTAGAGAGAGCCAGCAGGCTGATGTTGCGGTGTGGAAATAACCCCGGCAGAACCCACATGTGCCTGTCGATCTTCTTGGACTCCCTGTAGCGACGCAGCAGCCGGCGCAGGATCCTCATGCGGCGCATCCAGGACAACTTCTCGGGCATTCGGGCGTTGGCTGTACCCTTTCTCTTACCTGGACACGGATGTTAGGAGGAGGTTTTAATGAACAGGCACAAACAGGCTGAGTTCGGTCTGTTGTGTACTTGGGCTGAGGTGCATCTTTGCCACCTTAACGGCCCACTGGAGCTCAGACGTACCAACTCCCATGTGTCTTCCCTTGCGACGTGCCAGTGTGTTCTTGCGGCAACGGGCCCTGGAGTGAACCGTCACAGGCTTCCGAATGATAAGACCATCCTTCACCAGTTTACGGATCTGCTGGCCTGAAGACAAAAGGATCAGTATGAGCAAATTACTACAGCATGGCTCCATCAGGCAAATGAAGTACTAAAGAAATCCACCAAAACAAAGCAGCAGT